TAAATCATCTGTTCAACGAGTCCATAATTGATGGAGGCAGGATTTGAACCTAATCTGTCTGACCACAAACCTTTTTGCCAAATTGCACTAATTCCCTTAAATTCCAAAATTTGTATTTCAAAGGGTATGTTGGCCGAATTAATTACTCTGCTTGAGTGCATTTTCTACTCAACTTAAGGTAGATTTTGTTTATTACAATTCCTGCTGAAAATCTTTCTAAAGGCAGAGCAGACGATCCTGGTTTAGAAAGAGAAATCAGTGCCTCGCCATGGGCATCATTCTCAACACTCAAGTTCAGTCTAAGGTATTTGCGAAATGGAGAAGAAAATGTATTCTTTTCTCAGGATCTAATCCGAAGTTTGAAGGGGCATAAAACTGTTTCCTCAATAATAGACGTTGTGTGTCTGCCTGGCATTCTTCTTTGCTCTAAAGGGAAGAAATAAAAATAGTGTGAGACTGAGGAGCCTGGGTGTCTAAAAGTCAGTTAAACATCCAATTCTTGATTTCGGCTCAGGTCTTGATCTCAGGGTCATTAGTTCAAGCCCTGCGTTGGAGCCTACTTAAAAACAAAAACAAAAACAGTGTGAGACTGGTTCTTGAATGAATGGTTATTTGGGCTCCATTCCATAAGTTTCATCTAATGTCTAGCTAATTACTATTTTAATTTAATTGCCTCATTATATCCTATTCAGTCAATATTTCACAGTCACTCATTTCATTTTTTCCTTCTTTCATTTTTTTCAATGCCCAAATAAATATAAACCCACAAACCTAAAAGACGTCACTATTTCTCCGATATAGTATTTACCTACTTCAAGTGTCAGGCCTTGTGGAGAATATAACAAAAGCTACGGATGCTTTCCCCAGAAAACCGCATATTTGCCCAAACACACAAACATGGCACCCAGACACCAAGATAAACACCCCAGCTCTACCACGAGGACAGATACCTGCCTGATACGGCCTGTTCAGGCCCTCTCCATTTTTAGGGGAACTGTTCCAAAAGACAAGAGCAGCTTCCACCTTTTCTTAACTGCTTAGCCCAGGGGGATGCCAGGCCAGTCAGAATCCCTCCATGGGATTTTTATAACTGAACCGGAAACAGAAAGTCCCTTTGGGGGGGCGGGGGGCAGAAGTTACAAAGTGTGAAACTCAGGAACCATTAGTTCCCTGCCCTGTGGAGGAAACCAGTCAGCTATGAGCACGAATAAAGCCAAAATGGACAGAAAAGTCCCAACAGCACCCAAGCACCTGGTTCCAATTATTGCTGAACCCAACCCTATTCCTGTTCTCTTGGTTTAGTTACTAATCGGTCCTTGCACTGGGACAGACCTCCAAAACCCTCCTAACATGTAAAGTTTTTGGCTAAGCTCATGCACATTTCTATAGCTTGCCACAAAAGGACTTTAACATTAATACTGACTCCTTCTAAATACTGTATTTGTTTTCAACAAGTTTTATGTCCTTTAAATTTTTTCTATACAGAGGAATTCCTTTAGATATTTAATTAGGTCTTTAAATACTAATTTTCAAAAGGCTCACATTTCACTCTCCATAAAAATCTTTTAGGATATCTCTTTAAAACAAGTCTTGGCTTCTCTACATGTTCCACACACTATTAAAATATAATTTTAGGGAGCTAACTGCCTGATCATTTTTAGTTTAATTCCAAATGCAACAAGACAAAATTGCCTCCTTAAGTCGTCTTTTTTCCTTTATGTATTCAATTATATTCCCTGCTTAAAATACTTAAAATAAAAATTGGCAGGGATCCATTCACTGATGGGTATTTTAAGTTAGAAAGCAGTAACATATCAAATTCACCACACAAAGTCAGGCTTATTCTTGTCATTGAGAATTACCACCACAGTGGACTTGGAAATTTCCACCTTAATTGCAAATTTTTACATTTCAATCAAATAGACTTTGACTTCATAGACCGCAGTGCAGTCCAACTCCAATCAATCCAACAAACTCTCAGTTCACACCTCTCTTAACAATCACCACAGATTTCTTCCCTCTAGCCACAGCCTTGAAAATTCCCTGTTGCTGCATTTTCAAAGTTACAACAGTAATGCCACTTTTGTTCTATACTATTAACTACTGCTAGTCTACAGATCCTAACATAATGCTATGAACCCAGGAGACTGTAAAAATAGTTGAGTCTTGAAGCTAGAAAAATACTTGGAAATCATCCACTCCAGTCACCTTACTTTCACAGATGCAAACATCGATGCAAAAACTCATTAGTTATCATGCCCAAGGTCAGCAGAATTAGAGAAAAAATTGGAACACGTGTACAATGAGCATTTTACCAGAGTATGTAGGTTCCCAATCCCCATATAAGATGCCTCCATAATAAAATAAATATGAAGTTTCCCTTTAGTACTACAAATGTATAGTTATTGCTAAATATCCGTAAGACAAATTCAAATGAATTACAAAAGCATGAAATTGCTATATTCATCATAAATCTTTTCCCATTAATCCTGGTGACATTAAAAACATAGGAGAAAGACTGATTTAAATGATCTGCTCCTCCTCTGCTATGCTTTCTCAAATGTCCCTATCATATACAACAGTAAGCTTGCTCTTTCTTAATAATGCTGACGTAGTTTATTCTCATATTATACTGTAGACTTTGGTCATATTTAGTCAAGTTCATATAAAAATGTTTATCTACTATTAGACTTTGTTAACTTAAATGAAATCAACCAGAAATACATAGCATCTTGGTGCTTAGATTTCATAGTTATATACACTTTTTTCCCAGAAATAAAGAAAACAGACATTTTGAGAAAGAACACTGTGAAATAGACCATTCTTATGTCAATTAAGCCCTCAAAATAAAGATATTTGGACGAAAATATGGGCATTTTTAGTCATCTTTTGCACAGTGACTGGTACTGTCTATGTGCCTACTACATACTGATTGAAAGAATAACATAGTTACATTACATACTATGATAACTTGACTCCTCCGGATGACTATACTTAGAATTGCTAACTTTTCTTGAAAGCAAAAGAAAATAACATAAAATGTACCATCTACAAATCATACATCACTTTTATAAGCCTTAAGTAGTTTTGAAAGTCCCAATTAGCAAGAAACGCTAAAACAAATGTGGCAATTCCTAAATATAAGGTAACAACATAAGTGGTTACAATAAAATATGCATAATTACAAGATTTTGTAAAGTAAACTGGAATGCAGACTAATTCCCAGAAAGCACATTCTTTTTCAGCAGCATATTGTTGGCACTAATACTTTACTACATTAAACCCTCATACACAAACTCACCTGACCAAAACACCAGAGCTCCAAAGAAGATAAAAGCACCAATACATACAGAACAATATTAATATTTTTTAAAAAGCAACTAACATAAATAGTTTAAAAAGCTTAATAGGATTAGATGTAACTCTAAATTGTAGATTTATAATACAGGAAAAATTCCATTTTACTCACTACAATGAAACTTTGGAGACTTTTGGTGCATTAACATATGCGGTTGTAAAAGCTCACACTCACAATTGCTAAAGAAGTTATCAGGAAGTTAAAATGAACTTCAATGGATTAGGCATTCGTTTTCTTAAACACAACTCATTTTCTTAACTCTCTTAAACTTCATGCAAACACAATCAATCCTGATATGCTGCTTCACTTTTTCCCCAGCTCAGCCTGGGAAAGGAAAACACAAATACGATGCTTTTGAGCCATTTTAAACAACCTCCTTAAATTGAGAATGGTTTTCTGTCATTTCTCTTATGCTGAAAAGGGCACACAGACATCCACAGAAATCAAAAGTACGGAAAGCAAGCTTACACTTTCCCTCACATGCTAACTGACTGCAGTGGGTAAGATCATGGTCAAAATTCACAGGCTCATTTAAACTTTCATGGCTCAGCCAACAGCTCCTATCATGTTTCCTGATCCTAAGGAGATTAAAACTGCAGGAGTTTCTCGCAGGAAGATCAGCAGGAGGCTATTTCAGACCCTCAAACCGCAGTCCGCATAGCCCGCAGCGGCGCATCTTCCACCACCTCTGGCTGTGTGTTAAGCTAACCTTTCGGAGCGTTCTCCTCCAGCCTTTTAAACAAACCCCCAAAACGGGTGCGGCCAACTCGAGACGGCTTTCTGTCCGCGCCCGCCGAGACCCCCTCCTGCTGTCATCCCCAGGCCGCCTTTCCGCAGCCGGCGACTTCGGCCTGGCTCCCCAAGGTGGGGGAGGAGGTGTAGGGAGGAAGACTCCCCGCCAAGCAGCTCTTCAGCCCGCACAGCGGCAGGGCAATGCGGGAGAGGAGCAGAGGCAGATGCTAAACACCAGTGCCATATTTACACGAGCTTTTTCTTTGCCAAAAAGATTCCTTGTGTCCAATAATATCGCCTTTAAAGGAAAAAAAATGGACCGAAGCACTAAAGCCGCTGACCACATCTCCGGATCTCCAGTATTCTCACCCCTCTTCCCCCGAGGGGAGGCTCCAGACGCTCCTAGCCTCGCACAGGTACACCTGCCAGCCAGCGGAGGACCCGACCGCCCCCGCCACCCCCTGCCATAAGGGAGCGATCTCCAAGACTCAGACCCCAGCAGCCCCCCGCCTGGGATGACAGCCCAGGCGGAGCCGTGCCCCGCACAAACTTCCCAGTTGCCCGGCTGCGAGGACCGGCCGGTCGACGGACGAATTGGGGGACGGGGGGCGACACTGGTCCCTGCCGCAGGGCTCAACTGCAGATGGGACCCCTCGTCCTGCATCCGGCCCTACGTCCAAAGGGGGTCCAAGTGGCGCCCGGGGGACCCGGAGAGGCGGGCGCGCGCCGCGGGGATGGGGGCACCGAGGCGCCGCCGCGGGCGGACAACCCCGGAGAGCGAGCAGCCGGAGGGCCGGGTCCCCGCTCGGGCTCCCCGCCCCGCAGCAGCTGCAGCAGAAGGAGGAGGGGAGCGAGGAGGAAGAGGAGGAGGAGGAGGAAAGGGACTGAGCGCCGCAGCCCGAGCCCTTACCGAGTGGTTTACCCCCCACATCAGGACGCTGAGCAGCGGATCGCTGGCCCGAAAGAGCTTCACTTTCTGCGCTACGAAATGCTTCTTCTTGGTCTTGGTCTTGCTCGCCAAGACGGAGGACCCCAGGTTGCCGGGGGTCGCCATGGCCGCCGCCTCTGTCCCCTCCACCGCCGCGCTCCCGAGGCCGGGGACCCGCCCTCTCTACACGCCGGCCGGGGGAGGCAGCCGCATCCCCCCGGCGGCGGCCCCGGCGCGCCGTGCCCGCTCCGCCCGCTTTGCCCGCTCGGCCCAGCAGAGGAGGGAGGCTGCGCTCGGCTCGCGCCCCGGCCCGGATCCCGCGCCCGCCGCGGCTCCGCGCTCAGCCCGCGGCTGGACCAGGCGCGCCGCTAGCGGCTTCCGCGTTGGGCGCCGGCGTCATGACGCAGGGGGCGGGCGGGTAGCAGTTGCGGCGCCGCCAGGCGGGGCGCGGCCGCGGGACCGTTGAGCTGCAGCCTCGCGCTCGGGCTCCGGCTCCCGCTCCGCGGTGGTCCGGCCGCCCTCAGCGTGCGGGCGAACACAAGGCGCCCGCTCCCGGCCCGCTGAAGAGCGCGCGGGGAGCGGGAGGACTCCCGCAGGTCAACCCCTCTGCTCCCCAGGAGAAGGGGAGGGGGCAGGACAGAAGAGTGGGGAGATCGGAGAAAAGGAGCCCCCCGAGGCGGCGGTCGGGCGAAGGAATGAGGCTCACGGAACCGCCACTTACCGTTGCCAGGAGTCAGGAGAGCTTGCGAGACTTGAAATGCTGCATGGAGACCAGGGCTTCCCTAGCACCGGCGCGGGGACCTGGGCACATGGTTGGCCACCTCCCAGAGGGGCACTGAAATGAAGTTACAGTCCTGTTGTGCCTTTCATACCCTGGACTTCAGACTTGCTGCACTCTCGGAGTCGTGCAGAAGGGAGACTCCCACCTACCACATCGGCTGTCTTTCCTACCCCCTCCTCCCGGCAGGACCCTGGATTCCTCATTCACAGCCCTTGGTTTCGCCTAAAGAATTGAGGCCCCAAACTGCACCTTCTACGTCAAATCCTCTGCAACGTTGCTTACATTTCTTCCTTTTATTCATCCCACTCACCTTCCACGGAAATCTGTTCATCGTCTTCATCCATGTACACCTTAATGCTGGGAAGAACTGACCCACCTCAGGAGGCTGTCGTTACAAGTGTGTCTAAAAACAGTGCTGTCCCCACACCTGCCCCTGACTCAGCCCACAGGGCAAACATGTTATCTATTGGCATTATTACTCCACTCAAACATAGTGGATACCCACTGTGTGCTTGGTGATCTGCTTGGTTCTGTCAAGGAGACAAAGGATGGCAGACCCTTAAAGAGCTCAAGTCTCACGGGGGTGGGGAGTGACAGGTCGTGTGGGTCACGTTCATTTGCTCCTCTTTTTTTCTTTGTTCTTTAAACACAGGGGTAGCACCAAAGTCCTCTTGTTCTTTCCCTCTTGTTTCTCGTTCTTTGTGTTAACAAAAGATAATCAGACACATGTCACTTCAGGGACTACTCTGGGCCTGGTAGTTATGGTTCTGCCCTACCTACTTTAGAGGATGTTTATTAGAATCAAAATCAACAGCAGACAATGGCTATGAAAAGCTCTTGGTAAACCATACAGCATTATATACATACTAGATAAAGTGTAGAGTACTTGCAGATAACCCATATATTCTCCACTGACCTCAGAGAGTAAGTGCCTAGGTGAATATCTCTACATCAGTTGTCCACAAGCGCCTTTAGAAAGTGTCTACAATGCATTTTTAAGAAAAAAGTGTCTAAAATGGGGGCACCTGGGTGGCTCAGTTGGTTGAGTGCCTGCCTTCAGCTCAGGTCCTGGGATCCAGCCCCGCAGTGGGCTCCCTGCTCAGTGGGGAGCCTTCTTCTCCCTCTCCCTCTGCCTTTTCCCCCTGCTTGTGTGTGCACAAAAAAAAAAAAAAAAAATGTCTAAAACCAAGTTCAACATCTCCCCCCAATCCACATGTTGTTTCATTTTTATATTCCATTGGAAATGGTATTCCTATCACTCAATTACCCCAGCTAGAAGTTCATTTGTTTAACAAATTTTCATTGATCCAGGCTTGAAAGCTTAGAATCATCATTGATTACTGCCTTTCATCATTACTCCACATAAACCCCCTTTACCAGGTCCTGGCCTTGAAAACAGTTGTGCTCAAATATTATGTCTTCTCTGGTGCTTTCATGGTCCTCCTGATCAAAATCAATCTTCACCTCAGTGCTTCTGTAACACTTGATTTGTTCCATAAGAGTTTCATTGTACTTAATTGTATATCGTTAATGTAAGACAGTGGGCGTACTGTAAATGCTAAAAAAAACTGGATTTAGTGATGACAACATGTTGAAGGAACCTACAGGAAGGGGAGATGGACACCTGTGGGAACTGTCAGATGTAGGAGTCAGGAAGTTATGGATGGGCGCGAAAGGCGTCATCCCCATTAGGGGCAATCAGGAGCATAGGCAACAGAGATGAACATCCATGTGCTATTTTTAGATAGTAATGAGGAGAGTTGTATCCTTTAAAGGACAGATTTTTTTTTTTCCAGCTTTGAGTTACAATTGACATACCACATTGTAAGTGGTAAGTTTAAGGTGTACGGCCTGATGATTTGATATGTATATGTGGTGAGATGATTAGTACAATAAGGTTAACATCTCCATCACACGTAATTTGCTGACTGTGTGTGCTCACGTGTGTGATGAGAAATTTAAGATCTACTCTCTTAGTAACTTTCAAGTATATGATACAGTATTGTTAAGGGATAGAATTTTGGGTGATTTAACTTGCTTTGAATGGCACTATATTAAAAGCCATTCGTGAATAGTCATTAAATGATTTTGCCAATGACCTTTTGCATTAACTTTGTACTTTGCAGAGGGTGTGTGTGATGCAGAAATTCTGGAATCACAGAAATGACCATAGGAAATACCTAATCCAGTTCTCAAATTACATACATCAGACAACTGAGATCTAGATTTAAGAGATTTCCTGATTTGTTGGTAAACAATAAACTCTTGAAGGCAGGGTCCATGTGGTAGTCACTCTGTATTCTCCTGATGAACCTAACATACTCCCTTTCTGGTAGCACCTACAGCAAAGTTTTGGTGAACAAATGGAAAGGAAATTTTCATCTCCCACAACAAAATTACACATAAAGTTTCCATGCCCAGGATATGTTTGTGCCAGGTTCCATTCAGAATAGTTTATTGGGAGATTAGGTTAGGTGAGGCATAATATTTAAAGTTGAGGGTTAGGGACGTCTAGGTGGCTCAGTTGGTTAAGAGTCAGACTTGGTTTTGGCTCCGGTCATGATGTCATAGATAGTGAGTTTGAGCCCCAGCGTGGGGCACGAATCTGCCTGAAGACTCTCCCCCTCTGCCCCTTCCCCGACTTGCACACACTATCTCTGTCTCTAAAATAAATAAATAAGTTTTTAAATTAATTAATTTTAAAAATAAGGTTGAGGGTTAGATACTACGTGGATTTTACAACTTAGCAATTTGATCACTATTTTCCTTGGAGTTTGTGCAATAATGAAACAATGCATTTGACCTTGGTTCAGCCCCTCATTCGGGCAGCTTGTGTCTGTTGGGGCAGAGTGGCAGCACCCCAACCACCAGCATGTCACTATGGTCTTGGCCAGAGGCATGGCTAGAGAAAGAAGAGCAAGGAAATTTGATCTCAGGATGCATGTGGTTATGTTGGTCAAGGGGGATGCTGCTCCCATTTGTTTGCATTTCGCCTCTTGGGGTGTTCATCCAAGTGCCAAGGCCATGACAGCTGCAAGAAATGCTCTAGCAGCCAAATTTACTGCAAAGAAGGAAGGAAATGTCGGGAAGATCGAAAGGCAGATTCTCGCTTGTTTCTGCTTGTTGTTACTGTTGTCCTTGTTTTTCTGTCTCTTAACGTAACCAATTCTATTTACTAGCCTCGAAAAGTATGGTGAAAGTGTGATGTTAACTAAGGTATACAACACCAAAAATGAAGATTGAAATAAGTGGATGCTTTGCTTTTATATTTTATTACCCTTTTCATTAAAAAAACAAAAAACAAAAAACTTCCTCAGTTGAATAATTCCAATTAGAATTCTTCATTGAGTCATTCAGTAATGCTGTTTGGAAGCTTTTATGCCTTTCATTGCTCCATAAGGAAATCAAGGCAAGATGCGGGACCATTCCATTTCATCTAATGTGGTGTCAGCCGGAGCCTTGCCATTCAAAATGGTATTATTTTGGAAGACTGTTATTAAGTACATACAGTTGAACCCAAACAAAATGTAATAAATGGGATCCAAGACTTCAAATGCAACATAAGAATTATTTTTTCTTTCGTGGGAGGGTTGACAGGAGGCAGGCCAGCTTGCCATCTGGGAGTTCTGAGGGTCTAGCTGTGCTGTCCAAACCCCTCCTGGGCTGGCTGTGGTTTGGCGGGAGCTGGTAGGGTTGTCCACCCAGCTGAAATATTGATAGTGATCCTTCTGGCTTCTGCAACTGGCTGGGACTTCCAGGACAGTGGAGTAATTCCAGGAATCTACCACTTAGTTGGCAGCTCTTCTGTTGGCCTGACTTAGGGAGATTGGATGGGGAGAAGACTGGACATAAAGGAGCCAACATAGAGGGTGACCACGTCCCCAGCCTGCCTCACTTTCTCCTCCACTCCTCAAGCCAGAGGGTGAGAACTTTAGCAGCCCCTGTGAAACCTCTGTGGAGGACAGGAGTCAATCTCAGATGGCATTGTATTTTTATTATGCACACCTTTATAGTAGAAATAGAAATTCCCAACACTGTGAGAGCAATTAAGTGAATTACAGTAGATACAAATAGCAGACTATAATGCAACTAATAAAAGTGGCATTTTCAGAGAATATAATGATATAACATAATCAGATGCTAATATAAGTGGAAAAAAATGAGATACAAAATTGTATGTAAGTATGGTTTTAATATGATAAAATGTGTGTATAAGTGTGTGTATACATGTAAAAGACCAAAAGAAAATACATCATACTGTTGAGTGATTTATATATCAGGAGTGCAGTTTGGATGATGGATGGTTTTAAAAATATATTTCTGTGTTTTCTAAATGTTCTAAAATTCATTTGTGTTATGTTTATAGTAATTTTTTAAAAAATGCAACCATCTTCCCTGGTTAAATAAACAACATGGTAATAGCATTTAACACACTGGCCCATTCCTATAAGAGAACAGCCTTTTAAGTTATTCCTTGCTATTTATTATAGTTATGGTGTAATTTTGGCAGTGTTGAACTAAGTTTGTACTGGAACAGGCCATTTTCTGATATGTAGGGGGAAGAGAAGCCCACAGAGTCCCTAA